ACTCACCTTCGATTTGCCGACGATATAGTCCTTATGACAGAATCGCTGGAGGACTTAAGCACTATGCTCAATGACCTCAATAGTGCCTCCCAACGGATAGGTCTTAAGATGAACATGGACAAAACAAAGATTATGTTTAATGTCCATGTCACACCTATGCCGGTAGTTGTTGGAAGCACTATGCTCGAAGTTGTTGACGAGTACGTTTACCTGGGACAAATATTCCGACTAGGTAAGTCCAACTTCGACCGAGAGGTCAATCGACGGATTCAACTCGGCTGGGCAGCGTTCGGGAAATTACGACATATCTTCTCGTCAGGTATACCTCAATCTCTGAAAACTAAAGTGTACAACCAGTGCGTGTTGCCAGTGATGACTTACGGATCAGAGACGTGGTCCTTCACTGCTGGCCGTATGAGGACGCTCAAGGTCGCTCAGCGAGCTATGGAGAGGGCTATGCTCGGAGTTTCTCTGCGTGATAGACTCAGAAATGAGGATATCCGCAGTAAAACCAGATTGACCGACATAGCCCAACGGATTAGTAAGCTGAAGTGGCAATGGGCCGGCCATATAGCTCGAAGAACCGATAACCGATGGGGAAGAAAGATTCTCGAGTGGCAGCCTCGTACCGGTAGGCGTAGTGTAGGGCGACCCCCCACTAGATGGAGTGACGACCTGGTAAGATATGCAGGAAGTCGATGGATGCAGGTGGCTCAGGACCGTGCTTTGTGGCATTACTTGGGGGAGGCCTATGTTCAGCAGTGGACTTGTGAAGGGCTGTGATGATGATGATGATGATGATGAAATACCGTATAGTTGTTTATTCAATTTATAAATTATATTCTAAGATATTGCTTACGAATCGTCCCGCAAGCAGACTCGACCTCGACGACTTCCAGCCTCCCGAACAGGCCGGTACCCGAACAGCCCGAAAATACTTCAGTACTATAGACCACATACATACTCTGCGGCAGATTGTATAGAAGAACGAAGAGTACAATTTGCCACTTTGCCTTGCGTATGTGGACTATGAAAAAGCCTTTAATTCCGTCGAAATTTGAGTGATGCTGCAGTCTCTTCAGCGGTGCCAAGTTGACTGTCGAATATCGAAGTGTTGAAGTGTATGTACAGTAGCGCTGCGCTGGCTATCCCAGTACAGAACCAGAGTACGAAACCCATCCAACTGCAGATAGTTGTAAGATAGGGTGATGTAATATCCCCGAAACTCTTAACCGCTGCATTGGAAGAAGTTTTCAAGCTACTGAACTGGAAAGGATACGGTATTAACATCAATGGCGGGTACATCACTCACCTTCGATTTGCCGTCACCTTCGATTTCGATTCACCGACGATGTAGTTCTTATGGCAGAATCACTGGAGGACCTAAAAACTTTGCTCAATGACCTCAACAATAGTGTCTCCCAACGGATAGGTCTTAAGATGAACATGGACATAAAAAGGTCATGTGTAATGTCCATGTCACGCCTATGCCGGTAGTTGTTAGGAGTACTAAGCTCGAAGTTATTTTATTATAGAAGAGGGGGCAAACGAGCATACGATTCACCTGATGTTAAGTGACTACCGCAGCCCATGAACAACCGCAACACCAGGGGAAGGCAGGTGTGTTGCCGGCCCTTTAGAAAGGAGTAAGCCCTTTTCATGTAGGTCCCCAGGTCGTATCGGTCCGGAAAAATCGCCGGTGTTAAACTATTCCACAGAGAGGTTGTACGCGGAAGAAAACTCCTAGTGAAACGTACAGTTGTGGACCGCCAAGCATCAAGATGGTGTGGATGGTATCGGGACGTTTGCCGCGTAGTGCGTTCACGAAATTTGGAGCCTGGGATTAATCCGAACAATTCCTCAGAGCACTCCCCGTGATAGATGCGATAAAGTATGCAGAGATGCAACATCTCTTCGCAGCGCCAGTGAATCGGGCCGATCGGAACGATTCGAGCCGCTTAAAAAGTTGCAGGCGGTGTGCCTGCATAAAATACTGTCCCGCGCTGCTGAGCACGCCATGTTTTTTAGAGGCCAATTTGGCCTTCTCTTCCAAGTGACCACGAAACTGCACGTCACTTGATATGTCGACGCCGAGGATACCGATGATGGGTGAGGCAACAAGGGGAGTGCTTTGAAACTGAGGAGATACGACAAAGGGGTTCTTTTAAGCGGTTAACGCGCAAACTTGTGTCTTCTGGGGGTTAAACTGGACTAGATTTAGTCGCCCCCAATCCGAGACTTTGTTCAGCAAAGACTCGACTTCAGACACAAGTTTGTCCCGGTACTCTGAGACGTTTTCCCGAGAAATATTGGCACAACTGCTGTTCAGAGCATCACCAGTGCTGTCATCCGCATAGCAATGAATGTTGCCGGTTTGCAACATATCATTGATATGCAGAAGAGACAGCGTTGGTGATAGCAGGCAGCCTTGTGGAACACTAGCATTAATAGGCTTGTAATCGGAGCTTGCACCGTCTACAATGACCTTGATACTCCGATCTGCAAGAAAGCTGGTGATCCAATTGCACAATTTCTCGGGAAGCCCATAGGAAGGGAGCTTCGAAAGAAGTGCTTTGTGCCAAACCCGATCGAAGACCTTCGCAATGTACAAACTAACGACCAACGCCTACCCCTTGGACTCTACTGCCGCCACCCATCTATGAATCAGATAGACCAGAAGATTACCAGCTGATCGACCACGACGAAGACCGTATAACTAATCAGCTGGTGATTCTCAAGGTACTTCATGAGCTGACAGTTTACAATGGATTCCATTGTTTTGGAGAACAAGGAGGTGATGGCGACGGGCCTGTAGTTGGACGGGTCTGACGAAAGCCGTCTTCCATGATTTTGGGACTACGCCTAGTAAGAAGGAGTACTAGGAGTAACTCTGGAACACACGTCCTGAGAACAATTGGGGGGGGGGGATGATACCGTCAAGCCCACTCGACTTGTGGCTGTCCAGGGAGAGGAGTACTTTGCGAACCGAGCGCTGTGTGAACCGCACCTCCGGCATGAAGCACTCACACCGCGGGATGGTCGGCGGCGTACTCCCCCCGTCATCGAGAGTCGAGTTGGACGTAAAGAAAGAGCTTAGCAGATCGACTTTGTCCTTTGCGGCATGGGTCAGTGAGTCGTCCTCCTTGTGCAGAGATGGAAGAGATGGCTGACAGAAATTCCCCTGGAGAGCCTTGGCGAGAGACCAGAATGCACGGGTTCCAGAAAGAAGGCGAACTAGTTTCTCGCTAATTCCGCCTATGTGCTCTGATTTTGCCTTGGCAATGACTATTTTGAAGGACCTGGAGGCGGAATTATAGTTCTTTTTTAGAGCGCTGATGTTTACATCCCGGGACGTTGATGCGTCAGCCCAGGCTTAGTAGCACTCCTGCTTATAGCATGATGCTATTTTACAGGAGCGATCAAACCATGGCTGAGATTTGCCTCCGATGGGCACCACAGAGGAAGTTCCATACCCTGAAGTACCACATCAGCGACAGATTCAGCAACAACGTTGAGATCGTCCGGCGAGAAGCAAACCCGCCCCCAAGGGTAGGATGCAAAGAAAGACCGCATCCTATTCCAATCGGCTGACCTATAGTGCCAAACACTGATGCAGAATGCAACCGCGATTTCAGCGTGAGTGGCACCACACCTCGGGCAAGACAATAGTCCGAGGAGCCTAAAGGGGGTCGACGGAAATCTAATATCCGTCCGGATGAGAGGGCAGCAGATGGTTAAATAGGGAAGGTGTATGATCCTCCACATCTGGAATGCGCGTAGGCGAAGTAACCAGTTATGTCAGACCATATGCCAAGGCAAATTCATGAACAGATCTCCCTGCATGATCGGTTAAACGTGAACCAAGCCATTCGGCGTGGTGGGCGTTAAAATCCCCGTGGATCACGATCTCTGCCCAGGGGATCTGCAGTAGCAAAGAATCTGTAGCCATTTGGACGTGGTCGAAGAGTCGGTCTGTTTCTGCATTACCCCTATGGGACCTATAGAGGCACCCGTAGGCGCGCGGTAAGTTATTGACGAGTACATTTACCTGGGACATATAATCTGACTAGGCAAGTCCAACTCCGACCGAGGATTCGGATAGGACGGAGGAGACGAATTCCACTCGGCTGGGCAGCGTTCAGGAAAGTACAACACATCTCGACAGGCATACCTCAAATCCTAAAACCGAGATTGTACAACCAGTGCGTATTGCCAGTGATGACTTATAGATCTGAGACGTGGTCGTTCACTGCTGGCTGTATGAGGACGCTTGAGGTCGCTCAGCGAGCTATGAATGTGGTTTATACACTAGAATAATAGATATAGATATATACAAATAGATAAACTTATAAACTAGGATATCCGCAGTAGAATCAGAGTGACTGACATAGCCAAACGGAGTAGTAAGCTGTAGGGGCAATGGGCCGGTCATATAGCTCCAAGAACCGACAACCGATGGGGAAACAAGTTTCTCGAGTGGCAGCCTCGTATCGGTGGGCGAAGTAAAGTCGAGCTCCCACTAGATGTAGTGACGACCTGGTAAGACATGCAGGTGGCTCAGGACCGTGCTTCGTGGCATTCCTTGGGGTAGGCCTTTGTTCAGCAGTGGACTTGTAAGGAAGGACTGCAATGATGATGATGATTCACCACTGAATTAACACCAGTTAGTATTTTATGTAATATGTAAGTATGGCACATTCTATTTAATATATCTACAATCATTGCATGTGTTGTCACCCTATAGATTAAGATAGCATTTCCATAATTAAACTTTACTTGCAATGCACTGTAGGATCATTCACAAGAGACGTGATCACGTCTACATCTGATGCTCCCTGAATAATCAATTTCTCTGAAAACTGGCTGCCACATCTACAACAAAATCAGACTAGCTGGTATTATTAAGTAGACGTTGCAATGGGCTGGCCTACAGTTTAAAAATCGACAATTGGGTAAAGTTTTTGGTGTTTTGGTACTGATAAGAATCTATTTTTTTACAGAAATGAAGCATGGAGATACCACCCTGGATTCGGGACTCGTGGATTGAGAGCACGTAAACTGTTTTTCCGCGGCTTTCCACTCGGGTTGGCTCTCACTGTAGCCACTGTGGCTATCACTGAGCTTGCAGGAGGCAAGGACGACCACGATCACGGCCATGGAGATGAACATCATTAATGCTGCTGCCAGTGTTACCTTAGGTTAATTTATATGTACAGTTTGAAATTAAAAACAATTTTTAGCCAGTGTTCATTGTACACGTTTATTAAAAATAATGTAAAAGCTTTTGATTTAAATATTTAAGTATTTGTGACATTCTTTTATTTTATGACAATATGTGGTTTCCTTTTTTGGAGTTTATTAAAAATTTGTCAGTGGCTTTGGCTAGAAAAAGAAATATCTTTTAAGGACTACAATAATTCATTATATTCAGCTTGCAGCATTCCACTGCTGATTAGTCAAAATAATTTTATTTTCAATACATGCAGCATAAATAGGTCTGCTAAACCAGGGTTGTACCTAGCTCTCCCAGAATACCAGTGTGAAACAGCAGAATATCACTGTGTATTATGTATAGTGAGTTTAGAGAACTGGATATACTTTTCTGCTGTTAACAAGGAATTTCATCTTAATTGTCAGGGTTGAGTCTTTTTTTAAATAGAATTACGGTGACAAACGAGCAGACAGTCTACCTGATGGTAAATGGATGCTGTGGTCCATAGATATCTACACTTAACCTTGATCAAGAATCAAAATGCGAATGCGTTGTCACCCCTGAGTACTAAGATGGCACGCCTCGGTACCAGTAAAACGGGTCTCCGGTTCTCTACACTCACCATACGAAACACAGCAGCATCAAGTTGCTATTTTACGGTGTATTCTGTAAGGGCGTGGTCCTTCCCCGGTCGAGCCGACCCATTCGTGCTACAACCATAACATAGCTGCAGCTTGGCTCTACCACATATAAAATCTCGCATCTGCATTTTGATTTTTAAACAGTGCTAGATATATATATGCCCGTGTAGGTAAGAATACCATAACGCATATCTTCCCGTAGGTGTCGTAAGAGGTGACAGAGGGAAACTGCGGCAGAAGATGGTCAGCAGCGCCTTTCTGATACTAGCAAAAATCAATAAAATACTGCGCTTGACCAACCCGCTCGCCAAGCGTGCCAACTATTGCCATATACCCCCCCCCCCCCATGAGCAGCGGTATACATAAACGGCCCCCAGTCCCCGGCGGCCACGGTGATGACCGTGGTAACGGTGTGGCAGGGGATGCTAACAATTTCCGGTGGAGGTTTGGCTGCCACCGACTACGACTCGACCTGGCGACATATAACGCACGCATCCTGAGGACTGACGAGAAGATCCTGGAGATGGTACTGGTATGGTGATGGACGATAGAAGAGATAGACAAGTTGCACTGGGATATTATAGGATTATCTGAGGTCCGAAGAGAGGGGGAGGACACGGTAATCCTCGAATCCGGCAATTTGTTCTATCATCTTTAACGTGAAATAGTAGATTAACGCTGCTGTATTTCGTATGGAGAGTGTAGAGAACCGGAGATCCATTTACTGGAAATGAGGCATTCCATCTTAGTCCTCACGGGTGACAACGCATCAGCATTTTGATTCGTAATCGAGGATAGATGTAGATGTCTATGGACCACAGCAACCACTTACCGTCAGGTGGACTGTGTGCTCGTTTGTCACCCTATCCTATAAAAGAAAATCACCGAGAGGGCGACCATCTGTCACAAGGAGGTATCGCATTTTTCGTCCACAAGTCTCTCATTAACAACGTTGTAAAGATTGCGAGTGTGTCGACGAGGGCACAGAATAAATAATAGTACTACGTAAAGAAGTTTCACTCTTTTAATGTTGAGTGCTTGATAAATTGTGCTCGCAAGCTAAATAAAACTTTATCGCTGCGCGAGAGTGTCCGTATTACTTTGCACATTTTCCTCTTCCTACGTTACGGTGGACTTTCCGTTGTTATGGAGGGATGTCAATATAGAGTAACAAAATACATTGCGAAATATTAAACAGGTTACTTAGGTGAAATACCTATTCTGACTATGATCGACAGACCATATTTTCGTCATATTTTTTTGTAGTAAAGTTAGATATTAAAGATTTTAAATAAATTATTACTTAATTCTTTTTTGCTATAAGTACCTACCTAATAATAAAAATTAAATAAATTCACGATTCATAACTTCCTACTAAAAACCTTCGGTAATAAAAAATGATATATCTGAAATATTTTGTTCATTTAGCGTCTATCCACGCAACAATTATAGTAGGAACGACGTTTTGCCATATTAAAATTTATTAAATAATGGGTAATATACGAGGGTGGATTGAAAAGTACTCGGCCTAACACAAATCCATTCAATTCTAAAAATCAAATCTACCCACATTATTTAGTTCAGTTCAGACTAGTTCATTGTGTGAAGTTCGAAACGTGTGCGATAATTAGTTGTGATTTTATAAATTTATTAACAAAGTAATCGGACATAATTTCCGCGAATGGAGCAAATCGAGCAGCGTGCCGTCATTAAGTACCTCCATAAGAAGGGGCTATCATCAAAAGCTATCCATGATGACATGGTCAGTACATTAGGCGATTGTGCTCTGTCATATTCATCCGTCAAAAAATGGATAGCAGAATTTAAGCGTGGTAGAGAGAGTGTGAAAGATGAACCCCGCTCTGGAAGGCCTTTGACGTCAACTACTGACGAAAATATTAAAAAAAGTACTTGATTTAATAATGGGAGACCGCAGATTAAAAATTAGAGAGATAGCCGAGATTATAGGCATCTCTTATGAATAAACTCAAAACATCATTGTCAACGAGTTGGGTTTCCACAAGGTGTCTGCGAGGTGGGTTCCGCGATTACTTTCAGTTGAACAAAAAAGGACGCGATTGACTATTTCACGCGACTGTTTGGAGTTATTTGAAGCCGATGCAGAAGATTTTTTGAATAGTTTTGTTACTATGGATGAATCATGGGTTTATTACTGTACACCGGAAACAAAACAACAATCAAAACAGTGGAGAAGACCTGGTTCACCACCCCCTAAAAAGGCTAAGTCGATTTTGTCGGCAAATAAGGTGATAGCTTCAGTATTCTGGGACTCGAAAGGTGTGATTATGATTGATTATCTTGAAAGGGGTCAGACTATAAACTCTGATTACTACTGCACCTTACTACGTCGTTTACGAGAGGAAATAAAAGAAAAACGTCGAGGAATGCTCAGAAGAAAAGTCCTGTTTCATCAAGATAACGCCCGTGTTCACACGTCAGTACAGTCAATGGCTGAAATTCACAACTGTGGCTTTGAACTGTTACCGCATCCGCCGTATTCACCTGATCTGGCACCATCAGACTTCTTTCTGTTCCCTAACCTATAAAAGCACTTGGGAGGTCAAAGATTTTCGACAAACGACGAGGTCAAAGCAGCTGTAGACGCATATTTTGACTCTAAGGAAGAATCATTTTTTTTCAACGGTCTAAATGCTTGGAAGGGGAGGTGGCAAAAGTGTATTGAACTTGATGGTGATTATGTAGAAAAATAAAAATATAAGTGATTTAGTATGTGTTTATTTTCTTGGTTAGGCCGAGTACTTTTCAATCCACCCTCGTACATAATATATAGTTCTTAAATTACATTAAAACTTTTGAACTATTTTATCCTATAATTAAATATACTAAACACTAAACAAAAACTATTTCAACAATATTTACAAAAAGTTATATACGTAAACAACGTTAAAAAACTTTAACATTCAATCGCCTCCAACGCGCTAGCTCCGACTGCGTTATTTCGCCCGGGCGCGTCGCGATTTTAAGTAATTATTTCACGTAGGTAGCAAGAGTGATAGAGGCCTGACGTGGGTGACGTACATTACCAACTCTATCTCACTCCGCGCTTTAGGCATTTAAATATACCTACGCTGCGCGGTCCCCTAGGGGGTACTAATTCAGTGAGGTTGTCATTCGCGCGGTTGAGCTATATATACTAGTTGAGCTATGTAGTATGTTTACCTGGGACAAATAGTCCGACTAGGTAAGTCCAATTTCGACCGATAGTTCAATCGACGATTTCAACTGGCAACGGCTGGGCAGCGTTCGAGAGATTACGACACATCTCGTCAGGCATACCCCAAAACTAGATTGTACAACCGGTGAGTATACTAATTTGAAATAAGACCACAAATATTTTTATGGTCTTATTTCAAATTAGTATGGTCGCTGAGTCAGATGAAGCTGTAAGAGTCGTATAAACTAACAGCGCTAACATCCAAAAAACGGAGGTCCATTCAAAGCCAATGTTAAGACGTCAAATTGCCGCAGTGCGCTTTCAAAAACTGTGTAAATAACTACCGTAACACCCAAGATTTTTGTAAGAATTAATTTTTTACAGTAAGTTTATATCATTAAGTGCTTTTCATAAAATAAAACAGAATTAAATAGTAAATAATATAATTCAATTAGCTAATATTATGATTGTTTGAACGATGTTTGCTACAACGCACGAACTACAGTCAAACCTGGGTAAGTGAGAACTGGATAAGTGAGAGTAATAGCCAGGACCCGTCATTTTAAGCTCCGAAAACCTCTATTAGCGAGAAACAGAAACCTCTGTAAGAAAGAGTCGTTTTTCCCTCATTGACCTCCGTAAGTGGGACTTCTACTTATCTATACCTCTATACGCGACAGTCGAGATTTATTTATTTATATTATTTAGGAGGAACTATAGCTACAATAAAAATACATACATACAGTAACAAATGACAAAACAAATTACAAATTTAACATTTGCTATTCTATGACTATATTATTTTGTATTGTTTTGTCGTCAATATTGTACCTATTCTATTTCGTGGAACTAAACAACGTTGTTATTTTATCGCATTCTTTTCGAATGGACACCTGTGCCTGTGTGCGGTCCTGTTTGTCGGACTTACTCAGTTTATAGTTAATTAATTGCGAAGGAAAGTTCTGTTTTGCATCACGTCAAAACGGAAAATTAAAGTACTGTCGTTAAGCGATAAAGCTAAAATAGTGAATGCGCTTGAATCCGGAAAATCGCGAAATGAAATTCAGTGAGAGTTTAATTTACCAGAATCCACCCATTATAAAATTACAAAATCAAAAGATACTCTTATGATATATAATCTAATGAACGTAACATATACACACTATTAAATATATATATATATATATATATATATATATATATATATATATATATAGTAGATCTATCTATCTATATATAACTCTTTATTGCATTTTAACAAAGTTATTACAATAACGGAAAACTTATGACTATAAACGGTGGTCATATCGCTTTAAGCGATTTCTGATACAATATCAATAATGATTATAAATATATATTTATATACATACTTATTATATATAGGTATACATACATATATATGTACAAAAATTTTAATTTAATATATTCAAACATATACTGCAGAGAAAATTTAACAAAAAAAAACAAGTATATATGAAAAGAGGAAATACATATAATTTATTATTATGACGGGAACTTCAAATAATACTCCTTAAGTAGTTTTTTAAAAGACTGTAAAGATTGCGCTTTCTGAATGTTAAGTGTTAATGAATTCCAAAGTCGCGTTGCTAGTGAAGTAAATTATTATAAAATTAAGTTACGCTGTAAGGAGTATTTAAAGCCAAGCTATACACTAAACGCAAATTGCGGTTATGAAATTCATGTCGATAGTGAAATTGTTCCTTAAGGTATCTTGGAAATTTCGGATCAAACAGTACACAATAAAGTAAAGATACGAACATCCCGGCGAAGGCGAATAGGGAGCCACTTGAGTTGATTCCGAAACTGGGATACATGATACTGGGATCATATTTGCGTAAACCAAATATGAATCGAATGGATATTTTCTGAAGACGCTTGTTTAATTGCTTCATGGTAATATCATTGTAGCATATATCAGCATAGTCTAAAATAGGTAGCAAAATGGATTTTTGGGGATTTTAGTCTCTTAAGACTTCCACAAGCTGCAAACATTTTCTTCATTATCTGTTCAATTTGAGGTGCCCAAGACATTGTACTGTCAATATAATATATATATATATATATATATATATATATATATATATATATATATATATATATATATATATATTACCTAGATTTTTTACAACCTTACTATAAGGAATAACAGAATTCTCAAAACAAAGGGTAGCCTATGCCATGTATTTTTTGTAGTAGTTTGCTGCTACCTATCACTATTACCTGTATTTTACTAGGGTTAACCTTGATTCCATAAGTGTGCAAAATTCTGAAATGATTGTGAGATCACGATTTGTGGATAGCACGACGGATGGAAGATTTTCAATACTTGTTTGAGAATATATTTGGAGATCGTCTGCATAAAGATGGTAGAGCGAAGAAATTCCTGAAGTAATAGAGCGTATGAAAATTGAGAGAAGGAGAGGAGACAACACGCCACCCTGTGGTACGCCTGCATCTAGAGAAGACCACGAGGAATAAGTGTCTTCAATACGGATGCATTGACGGCGTCCAAACAAGTAACTACGAAACCAGTCGGTTGCTGCTGGAGATACGTTAATAGAACGGAGCACAGCTAGAAGTATGTCGTAATCGACTGTGTTGAAAGCATTGCTAAAATCAAGAAGAGTAAGAATAGTAACTTGCCGATTCTCCATTCCTGCTCGAATGTCTGTGATTTTAACCAAAGTAGTGACGGTGCTATGGCCAGGGCGAAAACCTGATTGGAATGTATTTAAGAGGCTATTTAGATTCAGAAATAGACTAAGTTGCTGATGAACAAGACGCTCAAGAATTTTAGCAAGAAAAGGTAATATGGAAATAGGACGATAATCACAGAAGGAATTGGGATTGGATTTCTTGGGTAATGGAATAATTTGTGCATCTTTCCATAGTGTAGGAAAAATACCTGTATATATAGAGATTTGTTGAAAATTTTAGTTATGATAGGAGTCAAGAGATCTAATAGCGGGAGAAGTATGTTTTGGCTGACATTATCACTACCAATTGCATTAGAAGTTACAGCTGTGATATTCTTTTTAACGTCACAGTCAGCAAACTGACGTAGAACAAATTCAGAGAGATCGGGAGTTGGCAAAGAATGAGGGTGATTTAACGTTCTAGATTTACAACTGTTAACGTGACTAGAACTTGAGGAAAAGTGCTGATTAAGCATTTCAATGTTTAAATCAAAAAGCAACATGTAAAAAGGGTGTCATTTTGCTTTTTACCAATTCCCAAGCTTTTGAGAAATTTCAAAACCTTATTAGGATCAGATTCATCAATTGTCTTATGAATGTGACGTCGTTGCGCATCTCTACACATCGTGTTGCAGCGATTCCTAAGTATCCTGTACTTCTCACGATTTATATCACAGGGGTCTTTTTTTAAATTTGGATTTGGCTAGGTTCCTTCTTGACATTAAGTCTTTGATTTCATTTGTGAGCCAAGGAGCCGGCGGATGCTTAAGTTTAACCCTTAAATGTATGTTGTTGCAAAACTGCAACATACTGTTCCATCAACTATAGAAATGAGAACATTTGCTCTATACATGTCGGTACTTTTATCAGAAACTGTATAATATTTTCTTTTTGGTGGCAACATTATTTTGGGTATGTTCCGATATACAACCCAGTGTACTGTCCAATGCAAATGACGTCATGAATCGACCCTATACTGGTGATTCGTTCCAAAACATAGGACAGTATATGACGTCATACATTTACGCCATATTGGAAAAGTGTTGGCGATTATTTTGTCATTTTGTGCTCCAAAAATCATTATATCTTCCTAAAAGAGATACCAGCAATTATTCTATAATTTTTTGTATTTGAAATAAATAAAAACAAATTCTGGCATGCTTCATTCAACGCACACACTATTAAAAATTGTTTTATTGTGGCCGGATATCCGACGCAATATGGCGGCGGCACGCCAGTACAATATAGTGTACAATTGATGACGTCATTTGCATTTGCCAGTGTACTGGGTTGTATTTCGGAACATACCCTTGATGTCATTGACTGTCAACTTGACATTTCACAATAAGATTATTGTTTTGGAGAATCTCAAAATTTCAAACATCGCAGTGTTTTATTTCGCACTCGCAATGGATAACGTGTATTTTTTGCGGTAAGCATGTGAAAAAAATATTTTACTAGATAATATGTCTATATGTCTATTTCCGAATTGATTTATTAGTTTTGAGAAACTATCTCTATTTTGTTACTAATTTCGATTTTTTTTGCTGTTGCAAATCTACAACACTGTGCATTTACTGTTATAGTTCATAAAAGATAGCTTGATCTCTACGACAGCTGTCAGTAAAAATCACGCCTATGAAGTCCTGAATTTCTTAGTAGTACAGACAGTACCTGTGAATGTCATACTTTATAGGCATGCCAATGCATGCCCGTGATTTTTACTGACAGCTGTCGCAGAGATCAAGCTATCTTTTATGAACTATAGATAACTATGTTTACGACTATTTGGTGTTTTTTTAGATGAACCCCTTGTCTGGTAAGGAAATTAAAAGCTATTTGGACCAAATTAATGATGGAGCCAGATCTGAAGATGACCTTGAGGCTTCAGATCAAGAAGATGAAGATTTTTACCCGAACAGAGATTTACTCTGTGAACTTCAGAGCCCTGTAGATGAGGAGAATGATGATATTGATGATGATCCACCCGTGACAGAAGATCCGTCAGCCACCTGTGAAAGAGAACAAGATCCTCAGGTTGCCTTTCCCCCAATAACTCAAGCTAATTGACGGGCAACAATGAAGGGACTTGTATGGAAAGTTAAAAAAATGGTTTTTAATCCTGACCAAATTACTTTTCGTGGAAATACTACATACCCCGAAGAACTGAGGGATCAAGCAGCTGGTGGCACTCGATATATATTTTTTTCAAATTTTTTCACTTCTGAAATACTCCAAAAGATTGTCGAAGAGTTTAATCTCTATGCTCTTCAGAAAAATGTTCAAAAACCATTGAATCTGTCTGTAGCAGAACTACGAAAGTTTATATCAGTATTGATATAACTGTCGGTCATAAAATATCCTAACATTCGTCTTTATTGGTCAAATAAAGTGGGTTTTGAACCAATAAAGAAATTAATGACTGTCAATCGATTTGAGACTATTCGCAGATTTATTCACTTCAATGATAATGAAAAACATTTGCCCAGGTAATGACTAAATTATTAATGAATAATTTCATTCTATGTATTACATTTAATGACTTTCATTTACCTACTCTATTTTATTTCAAGGAACACGCAGATCATTATCGACTACACAAGATAAGGCCTGTAGTCAACTACTTGAATGAGAAATTTGCATCAGTTCCTATGCAACAACGCTTGGTAATTGATGAGCAAATGTGTGCTTCAAAAGTAGCACACTTTATGAAGCAATACTTTGATTAAAACTACTTTTACGGATTTTATCGCGTTTTATTTATATTAATTTTAATACCCGACGTTTCGGGTGCTTTCCAGCACCCATGGTCACGGGGGACTGAGGTGACCGACGTCCCGATGTCAAAGTTAACCCGGAGTACCTGTGGGGCTTGTGCTTGCCCAACAAGCAATACTTTGGTACAAGCAATAAAGTGGGGGTTCAAGCTATTTGTTATGTGCAGTACAGCAGGCTATGCTCATAAATTTGAAATATACACAGGTGAAGAATATAAGCGGCTTCCAGATGAACCTGATTTTGGGCCTGTAGGAAATGTTCTGATCAGACTAACCAGAGAGGTCCCAAGAAACATTAATCACATAATATACTTTGATAACTTGTATACTTCTGTGCCCTTAATTACCCATCTTGCAAAACAAGGGATATACACTCTGGGCACTGTCCAATCTAATAGGCTTGTCAACTGTAAATTGCCAGACAAAAAGGCCCTAATGAAAAAATCTGTTCCTCGGGGGACCTATGAAGAGCAGATGACCACTTTTAAAGGCATTGATTTGACAGCTATTTGCTGGAAGGATAATAAAGCTGTCACTTTGCTGTCTACATATGTTGGAGCAGAACCTGTAACCCAAGTAGACAGGTTTGATAAAGCAAAAAAAGAGAAAATCAAGATTAATTGCCCTTACATAATCAAAGAGTATAATGCTCATATGGGTGGAGTTGATCTTATGGATAGCTTCATAGGAAGATATCGAATTTCTATGAGAAGTCGAAAATGGTATCTTCGTATCTTTTACCACCTACTGGATATGACTGTATTAAATTCATGGTTGACATACAAATAATTGAAAATGACTGAAGCAAATCCGTCGATTTTGAATTTATGTCAATACAGACTCGAACTGGCGGAGGTATTTGGCAAAGTTGGTAATGCATCTGAGCTCTGTAATAAGAGAGAAAGACCCAGTACTAGTAGCAGTATTGAGGAGGACATTCAGGCAAAAAAAAAAACGAGGCCCAACTCAGTGTATTCCATCTAAGGATATCAGGACTGATAATGTTGGTCACTGACCTGGTGACTGTGTTCGTAGTAGGTGCAAAATGCCTGGTTGTGCAGGATACACACAAACTAAGTGTGAAGTAGCTTTATGTCTTTCAAAAGCTAAAAAATACTTTAGGAATTCCCACTATTAATATGTATCTACTATGTATAATAAATGCATGATGTTGTAAAATTGCAACAGTGTTTTCTTTTGACAATTTAGGTATTACATATTGTTACGAGCATGAGGTTCGTGACAATAAAAACTGCCGATTGAATTACCAAAATTTACACTTTTATTGCCTTAACACCAATTAAAACTTAAAACACTAATAATTAACCACACTGATTCACTTTATTTCGCTCCAAAGCTTCGCTTGTCTCGCCAAATTCAATACTGCCCCGATCGCGTATTGCAGCGCTTTCAAATACACTTTTTTCCCCGAAACATCCAGGATATTCAAGTAAATACGCGCTCCAACCGACCAGGCGCCGAAAGTTCGAGTGTGGGGGCTTCTAGAAAGCTTAGTTCTCCAATTCGATACTACATGGCGCTGTTGGTTGAAAGATTAGTCATATCATTTTCTATAAAGCTCTCCTCGCTCTGCTATCCGACACTAGATGGCGCTAGTGCCAGACGTCAACTTAGGCGCGCAACACTGCCCCCTCCTAAGACATGCCCGTCCCGAGCATTATCAGCCCCATAATAACGCGCCAGGCGATCCACATGGACGATCTTAGGAGTCCCTCTTGCGCCTTTCTGTATCCGGTAGGTTACATCGTTGATCCTGGTCACAATCCGGTACGGGCCGTCCCATTTAGCTTGAAGCTTAGGAGATTTCCCTTTGCTGCGGACTGGATTGTGCAACCACTCGAGTGAACCTTCGTCGAATCTTTTGTTGTTAATTTTGCGGTCATACCGGGTTTTCATGTTTTCAGACATTTGCTGGCCCGACTGTCTGACGTGCTCATAAATGTCATTCATTTTGTTCCACAAGTCATTTGCGGTTATACTGCGTGGGGCATCAGGTGGTATCTCGGTGATCAGGTCTGCAGGCAGCCGTAATTCTCTTCCAAAGTTTGCGAAAGCTGGTATCACTGATGTACTTTCGTGAACAGTGCTTCGATATGACAACAAAAACGGTTGTATGTGCTTGTCCCAATCTCGTTGCCGACTGTCTACAACCTTTGCTAGGTACCTCTCCAATGTCGGATTAAATCGTTCTACCATTCCATCGGATTGCGGGTGATAAGAAGTTGTTCTTGTTTTATGAGTACCCATAACTCGGCAAGTTTCCTGGAATATTTGAGACTCAAAATTCCTTCCTTGATCGCTGTGAATCTCTAAAGGTACTCCAAAACGACAGAAGACTTCATGAACTAGTTTATCTGCTACTGTTGAAGCTTCTTGATTTGAGGAATGGCGAAGACTTCTGGCCAATTAGTGAAGTAATCCATCACAACCATGAAATACTTGTTACCGCTTTCACTCTCCGGAAACGGCCCCGCCACGTCAATGGCTATTCTCTCCCATGGTGCACCAACATTGTACAACTTCAATGCACCTCTACTACGAGTCTGAGGTCCCTTTACAGCCGCACAGCTTGTACATTTGCGACACCAGTCCTCGACATCGTTTCGACAGTGGACCTATTAAAACCGTTCTCGGATCTTCGGTAGAGTTCGTTTAACTCCCAGATGGCCTCCTGAACAATCGTTATGGTACAGCTGTAGAACATCCGGCACTTTAGCTTTAGGGACAACCATTTGCAAATGACAGCTGTCTCCCCGAATATTTTTTCATATTGGGCCCAATAGCTTTTAGTGGTCGAACTCATCGCTGAGACGTCGCTTCACTTGGGCTTGGGAGCACTGGCATGGAATCGGCTTGATGTCCGGATCTTCCTGCTGTGCATGTTGTAAGCTGTCCTTCCACTCGTTGCTGAGGTGGTTTCCTCAGCAACGAGTGGAATCCTCACGGATACCACTTCCTTACTCTCTTGCCTAGTACAATGTTTGCAATATTCAGGACAAGGTCTTCTTGACAATGCATCTGCGTTGCCATGAGATTTCCCGCTGCGATGTTCGATCTCAAATCGTATCCTGCAGTAGTTCAATCCACCTCGCAACTTGTCCTTCTGGATTTTTAAACTGCAATAGCCGTTTTAGTGCAGCATGGTAAGTTTGTAAGTGAAATTTTAGCCTCAGAAGATATTTGCTAAAATGCTGCAACGACTTTACTACAGCTAGCAATTCACGTCTTGTAACACAATAGTTCATTTCCGGTTTTGATAACGACTTGCTAAAGTACGCTATCACGACCTCTTGGTCACCATTCCGTTGAGACAACACACCACAAAGTCCTATATCACTTGTGTCTGTGTCAACTATAAATTCTTTGCTTGCATCAAGGTATCCCAAAATTGGTGTTTTGCACAGACGGTCCTTGAGCTCCTGGAATGCGATATTGCAACTTTCAACCCAGCAGAAATGTCGCTTCTCCTCGGTTAGCTGCAGAGGTTTGGCTATATCTGCAAAGTTCTTCACAAATCGCCGGTAATAGGAGCACAAACCCAAAAATGCTCTAACCTGCGTCTTGTCTTTTGGAGCCGGCCAATCCTTGACAGCGGCGATTTTCTCTGGATCCGTGCGGATACCTTCTTCCGATACTACATACCCCAAAAAGTTAACTTGCCGTTTGAATAGTGAACATTTCTTCGGACGCAACTTGAAGTTGGCACTCTGAATCTTCATGAGCACGAGTAACAGGTTTTGAAGGTGTTCCTCAAATGTACGGCCTACGATGATGATGTCATCCAAGTAGACCAGACAGGCATCGCCAATTAGCCCGGTAAGTACAAGTTCCATCAGCCTTTCAAACGTTGCTGGAGCATTGCACAACCCAAACGGCATTACGATGAATTGCCACAGACCCTTTCCCGTCGAGAACGCAGTTTTCTCCTTGTCCTTAGGGTCAATTTCAACTTGCCAGTAGCCACTTTTAAATCCAGCGTGCTAAACCACTTTACTCCTGTACGCATGTCCAGCGTGTCATCAATTCTTGGCAAGGGATAGCTGTCCTTCTTCGTAACATCGTTCAGCGGCGGTAGTCAACACAAAACCGCATGCATGGGTGAACACCATGGACTAGAGGAAGGTTCAATAACAACATCCTTCACAATTCCTTCAATCATGGTTTCCGCTTCCTTTTCACGTGCTACCGGCAATCTTCTTGGCCGCTGACGGATAGGCAATTCTTCTCCTGTGTTTATTTTGTGTTGAACTAAGCCAGTCTTTCCTCTGTCAGCATCGTTTGATGAGAATCATCGGCATACTTGAGTAACAACTTCTTCGCCTTGACCATTTCGTTCGGGGAGAGAACGCTGCGACAGTCCTCCAAAAGTGTGGTCACTCTCGTTTGTACATCCTTGCTGGGGGTCTCACTCGATAGACATTGGCACCGACGTAACCAATCCACTTCCTCACAGGTACCAACCAGCGTGCCTTTTTCTATAATCTGTTCCCTGTCCCAAAGGTTCAGCACACGTACTCCTGAGATGTCAGTGGTTCTGACCAAGGTTCGAGCTACTTTCCATGGAAGATCAATGTTTACCCTTTCCACAAGTACACAACGGTAAGCTTGCCCAGCGTTTCGAAGAAGACTAACCGGCACAATCGTTTCCGATCTCGGGGGAAGAACAATCTTCTTAATGCTGTACACGTTCCCTGGTAACGCACCTTCCATAAAAAGTTCCTCCTGTCCACATTTCAAAACACCTTGCTTAACGTCGATCTCACAACAATTATTCCTCATAAAGTCTAGGCCCAGGATGCAGTCGTCCATTATATCAGCCACGATGATATTATGCGGGTAGATCACGTTGCCTAGCTTCAACTCCATCTCCTTCTCACCACGGACGGGTATACGCTGACCGGTGGCTGTTAGCAAATTAATGTTGTGTGCAAAGTCTCCAAGGAACTGACTTATAAGTTGGGAACTAACAACCGTACGAGAGGCTCCAGTGTCTATGGTCAGTTTACACGGCATTCCGTTGACCTCGCCCTTGATGATTAGACTGTTACCATCATGGGTTTGTGAGATCGAGATCCTTTAATCGGGGCTCTTTTAACATCAGCCAGCACCCGCCCCGCAGTTCTGGCTTTTACTCGTTTCCCTGCTGCTGCTGGGCGGTGCTGTTGGTCGCACTACCCTCCTGAGATCGTTCACCTTCCCTTTCGAAGGTTCGCTTAGGGCAGCTGGATCGAAGATGGCCCCTTTCCCCACAGCCATAGCACCTACACCTAACGATGATCCTGCCGCACGGCTTCCACCTCCAGTGCATGGGCCAAGGCGTCCTTAAGCGTCTCGTGGTGCCCGAGCCTCACAGCAGCTCTGACTTCCAGGTCGCGGATGCCGTCGATGAATGTCTGCACCAGGTTCCATTCAATGAGCGCAGGTACAGACCGGTAAGCTTTTCGCACCAGCTTCTCCACCTCTAGAGCCAACTGTTGCAGGTTTTCGTTGATGCGCTGCACGCGATCTTTAAGCTGCGCACGAAAGACGTGTTCCAGGTCAGCGTTGCCATATCTCGCCTCCAATGCCTCAAGGAGTTGCTCATAAGTCACTTCCTCACCGCGTGCTTCCAGAACTGTTAAGGCCTGGTCGCGCAGGCCTAGTGCCAGACGTTAACTTAGGCGCGCAACAATATAATAATTATTATTTTTTTATATTTTTCCCAGCATTAGTATGAACATTACTACTACATTTTTTAATAAAAAATCATGCATTCTAGGATTAATTGGTCGTAAAGGAGCATGCTTGTCGTAGAGTTGCATTAAAAAGGAATTTAAAAGATGCACTTGTTCGTCAATATATGTACATAATATATGTTGTGCATATTATTCACCTAATTTTATCATTTTACATATTTAGTACATTCGTACTTGCTGTGACTTCTTATTCCTGCGTACCTCTATAAGAGAGAAACCCTATCCATGTACCTGCATTAGCGAGAAACTCTGGTTAGTGAGAACCTCTATAAGCGAGAATGAGATTGTGCTGTCTTGAACTCTCGCTTATCCAGGTTTGACTGTATTGTAACGAACATTGAAATGTAATACCAATAATAAAATAAAGTAAGCACGAAATTGTTAACATAATATTTCTAACCTTATTACTTTAAGTTTCATTTTAGAATAAATATTTGTGTACTTATGACGTTTTATATTCAAGCGGCATCTTTCTCCGATGACAGGACTTACACACTTACTAACATATTGTGCAATGGTTTTTAAACTTTATGTTTGATTAATAAGGTTTATAATAAACTGAAGTTATTAATATTATTAATCTTTTTTCTATATTTCATAGTAAGAAATATAGATGTTTACGTGTGTGAAATGGCCACTTTAGGGACTTATTTTTGTTCCTGATCTTTAACCTTTTGAGCGCCACACTAAAAACGCATTACCGTGTCCTGTACGCCAAAGCGAAAATTAAACAAAAATACATACGAAAAAATAGTGTTGCCATGAGTTGATATATCGATAACACAAAATAACTTGTTTTTGTTGGTTTTTTATGCAATAAATGACTCTTTATAATCTGGTATGTTTTATTTAATCTTGTGCTGTCTTCCACTCTTTTTATATTTGTACTTTGTACATAAATAAAAACAAACAATAACAATAAAATAATAGTAAACCACAACACTACTCTTCATCGTGATGACGTCACTGTCACGACTGGGCGACAACGGCGTAGCTGACCTTCCTTTTTGAAGTGAAGAGATCTAGCCGTGTCGCACGTTGTGTATCGATTTCGAAATCGATCTAACCAAAATATACAGAGATCGACTCAAAATATTTTATGTCGGGGGAGGTGTAGGCCAAGTGAAACACAGAAGAAAAGTCTTACCTCTTATGACAATGGGGGTTTGATATGATGTTGATGCTACCAGATGATTTTGAGAAAATCATAATCATAATCCTTATTGCAATCAAATGGTAACAATAGATGTGATGTTTTAAAAAAATAGTCCGTATTTGAACCCAGTTTGGGCGTAGCAATTATAAAATATTAAATATTATTTTTAAACTACAATATTAGATTTCATTAATAAATTAGATTATTAGCTTATATTATTTTAAAATTCTGTAAATTTAATTAAATTAATAATCACAATGTCAAGTAAAAAAATAATAATTATTATAATAAATAAAAATAAAATTAAGTAAAAAATAATAATTGAATTAAAAAAATTAAATTAAATTAGATAGACACACCGAAGTTGTCCACACAAATTAAATAATAATTGTATCAAAATATTCATTTAAATTATACAAACATTTTTCAATTAAATATAACTTTAATTTGGATAAAAATAATGTAGTATTCTCGTTAAATTTATTATGTCATTTAGAAGGTTATTAAAAAATTTAACTGCCATACAGTGGGGACTAGAGCTATGCAAAGCAAGAGTAGATTTCGGCAATAGTAGTCTATTTTTATTTAGGTCTAATTGAGTATTTGTGGCTCTAGGAGACTTGGTTTTTATACTCACATGTTGCTGGGTTATTCTTTTTTGAGGAGTGTAGAATTAAAATACCAGTAATAATTTTCCAATATCTATATTTCATATTTTTGTGGGCCGGGTTTTTTGTCAACTATAGACGTCGTTGGCGCTCAGAGCTCGCAGGTGCTGGTCAAGTATAGGCGACTTTGGCGCTCAAAAGGTTAATCTAGTATGATTATTAATCAAAGATCACAGAAGTATAGTCTAGTTTTTGTAGACAATGTGTTCGGGTGTCTTTTTGCCAGTTTTAAACTAAGTATTTCTCATATTTAAAGCAGTTGGCACTTGATTCCATAACTTCCCCGATGTTCTTATGCTTGTATTTTTGCATTCAGGCACAACACACCAGTGATACAGATGATAACTTATTATTAAACGTCCAAAAATATGTTATTCCTTTGCAAAATCGCCAAACTCTAGGATAGTGACGTCACTAGCTTAACAGCATGGCGTCTAACGTTTTCGCGCGAAAATTTACGAATAATGAACGCCATTGTTATGGCACTATTCGGTTTAAAAAATATAGGGGTTCATTATCACTCTAGGATTAATTTAAAACACTATTTAAAAACGGGTGGAATACCCAATTAAAACAAAAGCACTTCTTTAATATTTTTATTTATTTTTTCCATAAATAAACTATGGCTTCAGTTCACATAGAAACAAGTTCATTACAGTAATAGCCAAGAACCGCTTGGCCAGTACATTGTGCGCAATACACGTAAAAATGCAATCAATACTGCACTTATCCCCGCAATGTTGCACGTATACACTACGTACGCAATACTGTATGTATACATGCAATACTGCACGTATACACGCAATACCGCAATAAACGTAAAAATGCAATCAATACTGCACTTATCCACGCAATGTTGCACGTATACACGCAATACTGTACGTATACATGCAATACTGCACGTATACACGCAATAAAGCACGTACTACACACAATACTGCATGTATACACGCAATACTGCACGTATTGCACGCACTATACGGACTGCGGGCACTACACGCAAGAGCGAGCAGCACACATGTGGGAGACTTCAGGTGGTGCGCGGCTTAAGGTCATCGAAGCACGGCCGCAGGAATATGTAGTTTTTCTTGGCAGGGTTGAAGTGTTCATGGCCCTGGAATACGGTAAACACAAAATGTATAAAACAACTATAGCTTTAGGACTTTCCTTTGAAAGGTCTGTATACTCGCACCCTCAGCTTGTCGTTTAGACACAACTCCTATTTCCGATTTATGCAACGTTTTATTTTGCATTAATTCATTGTGATCCATTTTGTTTTAAGCTAGATGCTTGATACAAAACTGGGGCCTTATGATCAGAAATCGATGTAAATATCCATAATATACAATCTGTTTCTGTAAATGATTTTTATAGTAATATGTCCTTCAGAGCGAATTTTGGTCACGGCGGCCAGTCTTCAATGGACACTAGCCATCTGCGCATGACATAATTGTAGTGCCTGAATGTGTGCGCAAGCACAGGTGCATTCAAATTCAAATTCAAATTGTTTATTGCATGTCACATTACAAATTTAAGATGGTACAATTTTGATCGGTATACATGTGACGCCCCGCAAGGGCATAAGCAACACTAGAGGGCTAACTATTTTCGTATTATCTAATTTTTAAACATAAATTACAATTATCATATCATCAACATTCAATATTATTTTATATAAATTAATTTAATTTGAAACACAATGTATAGTCTAAGTATTCTTACTTTATCGTTATTTATCGTCAAAAAATTCATTTAAATTATGTAACATTTATTAATAAGAAATATTTTTAATTGTTTATTAAATTGCACAGGATTTTCCAGGATTTTTATGGAATTCGGTAAATGGTTATAAATCTTTATTGACATAACGTGAGGGCTGTTCGAAACTAATTTTAATTTGGAGAAGGGTATCTTAAGCTTATATAAATTTCTATTATTTCTTTTAGTCTTTTTAATAGGTGAGTAGAGTTTTGGGTGTTTCCTAACAAATTCACAAGATTCGAGGATGTAGATAGATGTAAGTGTAAAAATTTTATTTTTAATGAAGTGGGGTTTACATGACTCCATTTTGTCCAAATTTATCAATATTCGTAGACACTTCTTTTGTAATATAAATAATTTATTTACATCACAAGAGTTTCCCCACAAGATGATGCCATAGGAGAGTACGGAGTGAGCATGTGCATAGTAAGCCGCAAGGGCAGTCTTAAAATCTGTCACACGTTTAAGGTGTTGCAGTGCATAAATAAATGAGGATATTTTTTGCAACTTTTTGTACGTGTTGTTTCCAACTCAAATGTGTGTCCAGGTCTATTCCTAACAAAGTGCCAGAGTTAACAGTTTCTAGTTTTGTATTTTTATAGTTAAACGATATTTGTAAACCAGTTTTTTGGTAGGGTTTAAATTGAATAATTTTAGTTTTATTAAGGTTAAGTTGTAAATTACGTAATTGTAGCCAGCCAGTAATTTTATCTAATGTATAGTTCAATTTTGTAGTTAAATATGTGGAATTAGTGCAAGAGATTAAGATGGAGATGTCATCTGCAAAGAGCACGCATAGATCGTCCAGTATGTTTGGGAGATCATTTATATAAATAAGAACCAAAATACAACCCAAAACGCTACCTTGAGGGATAGAGCCAGTAATGAAGGTTGCATCCGATCTGACATGAGTAATTTTGCCTATCTCGAAGTCGGTATTTTCTACTTCTACATATTGGAAGAATCCCTCGCTGAGCATCCACGACCATGTTTCTCCACTTCTGAGCGTGGGTGCTCAGGCTGCCCCGCGTATTCTGGGGGGGGGGGGGGGCATTCCGCTCAAGACTAAAACTGCTCGGGGCAAACGGAGCAACAAGACCAAGGCGACCCCTGCCACGCTGTCCGTGAATTTCTGCAATATCAGGGGACTTCACTCTAACCTAAACGCCGTCCACTACCATCTCGAGACGGCGAGGCCGGTTCTGCTCTTTCTGACCGAGACGCAGGTGTCCTCTCCGGCTGATGTCTCGTATCTCTCCTGCCCGGGGTACAAACTGGAACACTCCTTTGTGCCTCGGGCTGGAGTTTGCGTTTACGTCAGAGAGGACATCTGTTCTCGACGCCTCGACAGACTTGAAGGTTCGGACCTGTCCATCCTTTGGCTACGCGTAGACAGCGACGACCATCCGCGCGTCTACGGGTGCCTCTATAGGTCCCATAGCGGTAATGCCGAAACAGACCGACTCTTCGACCACGTCCAAATGGCTACAGATTCGTTGCTACAGCAGATCCCCTCCGCAGAGATCGTGATCCTCGGCGACTTTAACGCCCATCACGCCGAATGGCTTGTTTCACGTTTAACCGATCATGCGGGGGAGATCTGTTCATGATTTTGCCTTGGCATATGGTCTGACACAACTGGTTACTTCGCCTACGCGGATTCCAGATGTGGAGGATCATGCACCTTCCCTGTTGGACCTTCTGCTGACCTCTCACCCGGACGGATATCAGATTTCCGTCGACGCCCCTTTAGGCTCCTCGGATCATTGTCTTGTCCGGAGTGTGGTGCCACTCACGCTGAAATCGCGGTTGCATTCTGCAGGCTGCCGCCGTGTTTGGCAGTATAGGTCAGCCGATTGGGATGGGATGCAGTCTTTCTTTGCATCCTACCCTTGGGGGCGGGTTTGCTTCTCGCCGGACGATCCCAACGTTGTTGCGGATTCTGTCGCTGATGCGGTACTTCAGGGTATGGAACTTTTTATTCCTTCCTCTGTGGTGCCCATTGGAGGCAAATCTCAGCCATGGTTTGGTCGCTCCTGTAAAATAGCATCATGCTATAAGCAGGAGTGCTACCGAGCCTGGGCTGACGCATCAGCGTCCAGGGATGTAAACACCAGCGCTCTAAAAAAGAAGTATAATTCCGCCTCTAGGTCCTTCAAGAGTCATTGCCAAGGCAAAGTCAGAGCACATAGGCAGAATTGGCGAGAGACTAGTTCGTCTTCCTTCTGGAACCCGTGCATTCTGGTCTCTCGCCAAATGTACATTTAAATTATAGAAATCGCCAAATGTCCAGGGGAATTTCTGTCAGCCATCTCTTCCATCTCTGCACAGGGAGGACGACTCACTGGCCCACACCGCAAAGGAGAAAGCCGATCTTCTAGGCTCTTTCTTTGCGTCTAACTCGACTCTCGATGACGGGGGGAGTACGCCGCCGACCATCCCGCGGTGTGAGTGCTCCATGCCGGAAGTGCAGTTCACTCAGCGCTCGGTTCGCAAAGCACTCCTCTCCCTGGACATCCACAAGTCGAGTGGGCCTGACGGAATCCCCCCAAGTGTGCTGAGGACCTGTGCTGCAGAGTTGGCACCGGTTTTAACGCGTCTTTTCCGGTACTCCTACTCCCTAGGCGTAGTCCCAAAATCATGGAAGACGGCTTTCGTCCACCCGATCCCTAAAAAAAGGCGACCGCTCAGACCCGTCCAACTACCGGCCTATCGCCATCACCTCCTTGTTCTCCAAAACAATGGAGTCCATTGTAAACTGCCAGCTCATGAGGTACCTTGAGGATCACCAGCTGATTAGTGACCGCCAATACGGTTTTCGCCGTGGTAGGTCAGCTGGTGATCTTCTGGTCTACCTAACTCACAGATGGGCGGAGGCAGTAGAGTCCAAGGGGGAGGCATTGGCCGTTAGTTTGGACATTGCGAAGGCCTTCGATCGGGTTTGGCACAAAGAGCTTCTTTCGAAGCTCCCTTCCTATGGGCTTCCCGAGAAATTGTGCGATTGGATCACCAGTTTTCTTGCAGATCGGAGTATCAAGGTCGTTGTAGACGGTGCAAGCTCCGATTGCAAGCCTATTAATGCTGGTGTTCCACAGGGCTGCGTGCTATCGCCAACGCTGTTTCTTCTGCATATCAATGATATGTTGCAAACCCGTAGCATTCATTGCTATGCAGATGACAGCACTGGTGATGCTCTTTATACCGGCCGAGCCAGTATTTCTCGGGAAAACGTCTCTGAGTGCAGGGACAAACTTGTGTCTGAAGTCGAGTCTCTGCTGGACAGAGTCTCGGATTGGGGGCGACTAAATCTAGTCCAGTTTAACCCCCAGAAGACACAAGTTTACGCGTTAACCGCTAAAAAGAACCCCTTTGTCGTATCCCCTCAGTTTCAAGGCACTCCCCCTTGTTGCCTCAGCCAGTATCGGAATCCTCGGCGTCGACATATCGAGTGACGTGCAGTTTCGTGGTCACTTGGAAGGTAAGGCCAAATTGGCCTCTAAAAAGCTTGGCGTGCTCAGCAGAGCGGGACAGTATTTCATGCCGGCACACCGCCTGCAACTTTACAAGGCGCAGGTTCGGCCGCTCATGGAATACTGTTCCCATCTCTGGGCTGGGTCTCCCCAGTACCAGCTCCTTCCACTTGACCGCATCCAGCGCAGAGCGGCTCGAATCGTCGACGACCGAGTGCTTTCCGATCGGCTCGATTCACTGGCGCTGCGAAGAGATGTTGCATCTCTTTGCGTATTTTATCGCATCTATCACGGAGAGTGCTCTGAGGAATTGTTCGGATTAATCCCAGCCGCCAAATTTCGTGAACGCACTACATGGCAAACGTCCCGATACCATCCACACCATCTGGATGCTTGGCGGTCCACCACTGTACGTTTCAAAAGGAGTTTTCTTCCGCGTACAACCTCTCTGTGGAATAATTTACCACCGGCGATTTTCCGGACCGATACGACCTGGGGACCTGGGGGGAAGAAAAGAGCTTACTCCTTTCTAAAGGGCCGGCAACGCACCTGCAATTCCCCTGGTGTTGCGGTTGATCATGGGCGTCGGTAGTCACTTAACATCAGGTGAGCCACATGCTCGTTTGCCCCCTCTTCTATAAAAAAAAAAATAAAAATAAAAAAGATTTGGAAGCGGTTATAAAGATAGACCACATACATACCCTGCGGCAGATTGTACAGAAGACCGAGGAGTACAATCTGCCACTTTGCCTGGCGTATGTGGACTATGAGAAAGCCTTTGATTCCGTCGAAATTTGGGCGGTGCTACAGTCCCTTCAGCGGTGCAAAGTTGACTGTCGGTATATCGAAGTGCTGAAGTGTTTGTACAGTAGGGCTACGATGG